GATGAATGACTTGGAAACTTTTCTAGCAGTATTGAATCATTTGGAACATGTATTAAATTGAGGATTTTCTTTTTATTCATTTTAAATCGTAGATCTTGCTTTACAGGAAACATGTAGGGAGACAGTATTGGTCACATGCAGGGAGGTGTGTCTAGAGCCGCATTAACAACGTGATTTAACTCCTAAATCGCAGAGAATTGAGCAGTGAGACTGCAGAGACATGATCTATACACCAAAGCTGATTCATTAAGATAAAGTTGTTTCAGTACTTACAATGTCCCTTTAATTGTATGCAGTGTCATCAAATATAATATACATATTATATATTGTTTATGACTAAAGGATCGACCAGGCTTTCTTACTTTATAAGATTATATGAATATGTATTATATAGTTTTTAATATTTTAAGATGTTGAAAAAAACATTTTACAATTTTATCCCAAAATATTACATGATTTGGAAAGCTAATCTAACAATATTAAAGTGAGGGATAAAAATAAAAAAATATATATTAATTTTACATATAATAATTTTTACCTTTGGGACAAAAAAAACCTTCACTTCACTTCAAGTCACAATCATTGGAATCATATCATTGATAACCTTATAAATTTTGAGTTATTACACATTGCCGTATTATTAATGTTTTCCGCTAAATCTAAGAGCATACCTTTCACACATTTTCTTACTTTCACACATTTTGTACTTATGATGTGTCCATATTTTTGACTCAATAGCTGCCCCGGCATGCAAGTGACCCCAATTGTGACATTCTGTTCGTAAGAGTAGACAAACAGGCTATCCTACATGTTATATTAAGTATTTTCACGTTTGTATCATCAATAATTTCTGTGTCATTTAGTTATATTTTACAGACACATTAATTTGGTTGAACACTTGCGATTGTAAAACCCCCCAGATTTGTTGTGTGCTAGACGCCCTACATATATCGCTATGTATACCTTAGTAAGGTCTGTGTATAGGTGAGGGGTCACATTATAGTCATTCCATCAATTTTGATGGGCTAATTTGCCAGACCCAACTCTTCTTTGGTATAAAATTTGGTATAAAATAGCAGAAAACTTATCTTTGCATACTATCAGGCTCTTTCACTTGAGATATTTTGGATAGAAACATAGAAACTTAGAATGTGACGGCAGATAAGAACCATTCGGCCCATCTAGTCTGCCCAATTTTCTAAATACTTTCATTAGTCCCTAGTCTTATCTTATAGTTAGGATAGCCTTATGCCTATCCCACGCATGCTTAAACTCCTTTTACTGTGTTAACCTCTACCACTTCAGCTGGAAGGCTATTCCATGCATCCACTACCCTCTCAGTAAAGTAATACTTCCTGGTATTATTTTTAAACCTTTGTCCCTCTAATTTAAGACTATGTCCTCTTGTTGTGGTAGTTTTTCTTCTTTTAAATATAGTCTCCTCCTTTACTGTGTTGATTCCCTTTATATATTTAAATGTTTCTATCATATCCCCCCTGTCTCGTCTTTCCTCCAAGCTATACATGTTAAGATCCTTTAACCTTTCCTGGTAAGTTTTATCCCGCAATCCATGAACCAGTTTAGTAGCCCTTCTCTGAACCCTCTCTAAGGTATCAATATCCTTCTGAAGATACGGTCTCCAGTACTGTGTACAATACTCCAAGTGAGGTCTCACCAGTGTTCTGTACAATGGCATGAGCACTTCCCTCTTTCTACTGCTAATACCTCTCCCTATACAACCAAGCATTCTGCTAGCATTTCCTGCTGCTCTATTACATTGTCTGCCTACCTTTAAGTCATCTTTGCTACAATTACTTTAAACAGCCCCATTAAATTCAGCTGCATCCTCCCGCTGTGAATTGAAAGCATTAACTCGGGACATGTCCTAATTTTGATTTCCAGTTACACTATCTGTGTCACCAGTCTCTCTAAAATTCTTCACTCAGTAATATCACCACTTAAACCACAGCACAAAATACAGCACAAAAATAGGACATTTCTATATAAACAGTACACTTACAAAAAGTTACTTTTACAACCACTAAAAGCTACTGGCCAATTCATCTAAATAGTATTCCAAGCTGTCTTCACAAATAAAAATCTGAATCTAACTCTTGTACGCTGTACATAAACTGGTTAGGTGTCCCTGATTATATATCTATTTGGGATATTGGGGAGTGGGGTGGACTACCAGATAATTTCGGGGTGGAGAGAAGGAAGAGCAGACGGACTCACCCCAATCTTAATGGTTTATGAGTAAACACTGAATGCTTTGTCGACTAATCGGGATTTTAAAAGCATTTTAACGTAATCTTCTTTAAACCACTTTTGACACAATATTGAAATGCGAATTCAGTCTAATGGAAAACTAAAATATATAGCACTTATAGTACTTTGTTTCTTTATAATATCTCTGCCTTTTTGGATAAGTACACTTTCCCCATGTTTTTTGTATATGTTGTGTTTATATATATTTCTAAATTTTTGAATTGTTTTTTTTTTTTAGAAATGTACAGCTCATAATTTCTCATTAGGAATATCAAAATAATTCTCTCTAAAGAAAAAAATGGAAAACAACAAAACTCACCGCACATTTTGAAAGCAAAAACACAAAAATATTGCACGCTACCTGCAACATGTGACGTCTGCCGTGTCAGAAAAACATTCCTGCATCTATTAAACTGTGATTTACTTTGTGACCCAGCATGCTTTAGGTCATACTCCAATAAATTAGATGTTAGCATTATAGTGTTTCACCTTGGGCTCAATTTGCCCCCTAGCTGTTAGTGCATGTAAATGAAACCCTGATAAGTCCCAGGTAATAGCTATATCCAGTTTGGAATCGTATGTCATGCCCCTTTGAGGTACGTATATTCCATCCATGGCACACGGTAACAGTCTGCAGGGTGAACATTATGTTTTTGGTTCGTCCATATTGATTCAGTTCATATTTCCAAAACTTTTCATATTGGAGGAGTTTTGGTTAGAAATAACTAGTATCGGTTTGAATATTGTCATGGAAGGCCCTAAAATTAAGGACAAAGGTGTCTATAATGTCCATTCAAGACAACAACTCTCAAACTGTAAAATAGTGGTTTAGAGTTGGTTTTATCTGTCAATGGTTTCTCGCAGGAAACTTCGCAAACCAAAATCTGCTAAAACAGCTTGCTTATCGCACTGTTCGGTTTATTGGGAATTTGGGTAAAGTATGGTTAAAAATTTGGGTTCAGCAGATTAGAGTAATGAATCAGATTCAGACTCAGAAGGTAAATGGGCACATTCCCAGGATGAAGGAGCAGATTCTACAGTACATGAGCAGATTCTAAGGGTCACAGAGATAATGGGGAGATACATTGGATGAGCAGATGGGATTCCTGGGTTCTAAGATGATTTGTCAACTTTTTACGGTGAATGATGGTAGATTTCACCACTGCAATTAAAATAACAGAAATTCTGAATATGCCCAGGATTTGGACGCACACTGATGATGCTCTTTACGAAGAGAGATACTTTCATTTTTGGTTTTTATAAAAGGAAGGGAGAAGGATAAAAATATTTTTCTCAATGATGAGAGCGTTATAATAACAGATTGTGCTTAATTTCTGAGACACCTGTAATAGTCTTTAGATGTTGCTGCAAAGCAATGCAATATGAAAGGTTTATTCTTGGTTACATGCAGTTCCAAATGCAATTATGTGTATATACATAGATACAAATACAGCTTTCTATCTAGGGATTGTTTGACAGTATAGAAATTTGGTCAATCTGAGCAGTAGCCCTGTTGGCCATCCCGTTAGGTAGCCCATGCATAGAATTCAGAGTACGAGGGATCATGTGCCTGAGGATTTGTCTCTGCATTTCCAAAAGTGGGACACCAGAGCACACACTTAGAACAGAGGAGTAAGAAACCAAAATCAGGATTAATCAGCTAAATCTGGTGTAGATAAAGCACTTGTATGGTCAAACAAAAAACATGCAGCCAAGAAACCAAAATTATTCAGAATCAAATAAGATCTATCACTATTCTCAATAGCTTGTTCCGTGGTCAGCCATCTTAATGAAGGGGTAGCATCAGGCCACCACAGCAATTATGTGAAATATAGTCTCATAACGGCTCGGGGGGCTGAGGGTGTCATCCTGTGTTTAATCGTCTTCCTGCAGCAGGAAAGATAGTATGATATATTTTAATGGGAGGAATAATCATGCAGACCAATCTAAGATGGCTCTCGATGTAGGTAAGTATTGAATGGCAAGAGTTCCCCTTTACGTGAGATAATGATGAGTTGTGTAATGAAATGTTACTAGTTGTGTTGAATGTAATTTTGCGAAAAGTTTCCAATAAGTTCCAAATCAGTAATGATTAATATTGATGAGTTGCAGGTATCACCATTGCGACAACTAAGTGATTTAGCAATTTAGAAAGGACATATACAACTCTCTCTATGTATATATCTCTAGATCTTTTGGGAAAGTGTGACGGAGCTCCCTGTACCCTGGCTGGGACCCTGGAATGCTTCTGCCCCAGTCGCCGCAGCTTGACTGGGGTTCTTCTGGAGTTCTTGCACACAACCAGGCAGCAGCTCTCCTTTCAGGCAGGTATCGTCCCCTCTGCCTATTGCACTGCAGCTCGGCTTACAGTGATTATAGTTATTGTCTTTACAAAGGTAAGTGCGGCTCTCAGGCCTATCTCTATTGATTTATCCCAGAGCTAGAGGGATCTTGCAACCAGAAAACAGGTCAGAAGACTCTGTCAATAGGATCCCTAAAAATCCACACTGGACACAAGTTCCAAAAGGAACTGACATACAAAACTTTTACTACTGCTACCAACAGAGGGTGCTATATAGGCTCCATAACCAAATCCTCTTAGTTGGTAGAAAGCATCAGCATGACAGGAGAGCACACAAACAATTAACAATAAATACATAATACACATACACACCCTGCACCTACAATGGACACATGGTGACTTAAACATAGGAACAGTCCAGGGTTCTATTATTATTATTATTATTATTATTATTATCATTATGGTATTTATATAGCGCCATCAAATACCGCAGCGCTTTACAATGGGTGGACGAACAGACATGTAGTTGTAACCAGACAAGTTGGACACACAGGAACAGAGGGGTTGAGGGCCCTGCTCAATGAGCTTACATGCTAGAGGGAGTGGGGTAAAATGACACAAAAAGGTAAGGATACTATTAGACTAGTAACAGTTGCAGAAGAGGAATCAGTCAGGAGCTATTAACAGTTTAATTGATACGCTTTTATGAAGAAGTGGGTTTTTAATGATTTTTTGGGAAGGAGTGGAGACTGGATAAGCATCTAACGGAGGAGGGAAGCGAGTTCCACAGGAACGGTGCAACCCACGAGAAGTCTTGAAGGCGAGCATCAGAGGTGGGAGTACGGACAGAAGATAGACGTAAGTCTTCAGCAGATCGTAAGGGCCTAGACGGGACATACTTGTGTATTAGGGAGGATAGATAGGTGGGAGCAGCATTATGTAGCGATTTGAAAGCAAGAACCAGAATTTTAAATTGAGCTCTATATTTTATAGGAAGCCAATTTAGGGACTGACAGAAGGGTGAGGCATGGGAGGTGCGGGCGGACAGGAAGATGAGCCTCACCACTGTATTCATTATGGACTGTAACGGCACAAGTTGGAAGCACGTAAGACCACTGAGAAGCGTATTACAGTAGTCAAGGCGAGAAAGGACAGTGGAATGGACCAACACCTTAGTCGCATCTGGCGTTAAGTAGGGGCGGATGCGCGCAATGTTTTTGAGATGGAAATGACAGGATTTGGCGATAGATTGAACATGAGGCTTGAAGGAGAGGTCTGAGTCAAAGTGAACACAGCCTGCGTGGTGGAGCTGATGGTAGCACCGTTGACTTGGAGGGAGACAGACACAGGAGTAAGAACACTTGAGGGAGGAAAGACCAGAATTTCAGTTTTGGTCAAGTTTAGTTTAAGGAAGTGGGCAGCCATTCAGTGAGAAAGAGCAGAGAAGCAGTCAGAGACACTAGTCAAGAGGGACGGGGAGGGATCAGGAGAGGACAGATAGATTTGCGTGTCATCTGCATAGAAATGATATTGGAAACCAAAGGAGCTAATGAGTTTACCAAGGGAGGCAGTATAGATAGAGAACAGTAGGGGACCAAGGACTGAACCTTGGGGGACACCAACAGAGAGGAGTTGGGGAGAAGAAGCAGAGCCAGAGTAAGAAACACTGAAAGAGCGCTGGGAGAGGTAGGAGGAGCATCAGGAGAGAGCAATGTCTTGTAGACCGATATTGCGGAGGATGAGAAGAAGCTGTTGATGATCATAAAATGTCCTTATGAAACCCCAGGTGATGGTGACTACCGTCACATCAAGTATATTAGCCCAGTTAGAACAATATAAGTCTTTTTTTAAATATCAATACACATTACTGTTTATCGAGATGATTCAGAGAAATTTAGCATTCTATGCTAGACTCATCTCTGGTCGCCTAGAGCAAGTAGACTTGTTCCTTTAAGCAAAGCTCCTTACGAAAGATACTAAAAGATACAAAAAGTCACAGTCAGCCACAGGAGAACTGGAATAATAATCAATCGCACTCACACCACATCCCGCACAGATAAGGTGCTCCGGGAAATAAATTGTATAATGGATATAAATTCCTCTATTGCGTTCAGCAAAGCATTCAGCAGTTTTCAGCTAATCTTTTCTGGTTCTCAAATCTCTAACTTTACAAAACATGCAATTATTCAATATTCACCCTATTTTCCTGATCTTTTCAAATCTCATTGTTTCATAATTTTTAAAAGATGATCTTGTCAGTGGAACACATGGAAAGTTATCCCAAGCCGAGTAAAACCTGCTAAACCTTGCATAATGCAGAATCTGCTATTTCTATAAAATAGAATTTGGCAGCCGGAGGCAGACTGAGATTTCATCTTGTTGCCTTTAATGTTTTCTGTGCTGCAGATTAACCGGGGACATTTACTCCAAGATACAAGTGTTTATCATTAAAATTTCACTTTTTCTTTGAGAAATGTGGTTTATATGCTCAATATGCAGGGGAAGCCAGGCTGATCTTTGCTTGTCTGAGCTGGTAGGGTGATCTTAATTATATTATTTATGAGATATCATAAACACAGTGCAGAAACTATAAAATGCTCAGATAGTCAGCACTCTTGGCTAGATTTAGAGCAAGCCATTAAAGAACCTATTTGTACCCCATGCTGGACAATGACAATATATGTGCCTCAGCGGATTTAGCGCATCTCCTTGTTGGGGGAGGGTTACAATTAGGGACTCATTTTTTTATTTCGAGCTTACTGGCACCTATTTTAAAAAAAACAACAACTTACATTTATAATAAAATCTAGGATACATTTTATGACTTCTAGGGTAAGAAAACGAATTGAGAGAGGCTAAATTAGATACTAACCCTAATTGTAACCCTCACCTTAACCCTAAATGTCCTAGGTCCCAGTGCTACAGTGAAGCCCCTAACTGAAAGATCAGTGTGACAGTAACTTTACCTACATTGTAGGACCTCACCGAGCTCGATCATGGGAAGCTGAGCAGAGTGGAGATCCTGATGATTGCCGATCGCTGGGGGAAAACATTACTCAACAAGGAAACGGAATTCGATAGAACAGCATTGAAGAGACGCTCCTCACATTAATATTTCCTATTAAATCAAACTGGTATTATGGAATTCCATCACAATACAGACATGGATATAAAAACAGGGCTATACGACAAGTCAAGTTTACAGTCATATTTTATTGTTTTTATTTTTACTGTAGAAAGAATGTTCATGAGTTATTATTATTATTATCGCCACTTATATAGCGCCTACAGATTCCGTAGAGCTTTACAATATTACAGTGTTTTCTGTAAATGTATCACTTATGATAATAAATGAGTTACAGTGTTTTCTGTAAATGTATCACTTCTTATAGCCTGTGTTCAATGTGTAAAAAATATTTGAACACTAGAGAGGAAGTGACTTTGTTTAGACTACATCTCCAATAGTTATTTGCCAGGATCAGACATGTAAAAAAAAATTGCAAAAAATTTAGCAGAACCGCAACTGAACGGGCTGTGTTTTGATATCATGGGTGTGTAGGGGTGTGTAATAGTCTCTAGGAAGGGAAGTGAGGCATAGCAGTAGGGATATTATAAAACCTCTTACTCAGATATCACGTGATCACAACTTGAATTGTACTTCTCAGCGAGGTGATGGTGTAAGTGCTGTGAAGGTACAGTGAGGGAAAAATTATTTGTTCCCTGCTGATTTTGAACATTGTCCTGTCCCCTTAGGAGAAAGACACCCCCAAATCATAATGTTTCCACCTCCATGTTTGACGCTGGGGATGGTGTTCTTGGGGTCATAGGAAGCATTCCTCCTCCTCTGAACACAGCGAGTTGAGTTGATGCCAAAGAGCTCGATTTTGGTCTCATCTGACCACAATACTTTCACCCAGTTCTCCTCTGAATCATTCTGATGTTCATTGGCAAACTTCAGACGGGCCTGCACATGTGCTTTCTTGAGCAGGGGGACCTTGCGGGCCCTGCAGAATTTCAGTCCCTCACGGCGTAGTGTGTTACGAATTATTTTCTTGATTATGGTCCCAGCTGCCTTGAGATCATTAACAAGATCCTCCCATGTAGTTCTGGGCTGATTCCTCACCATTCTTATGCTCATTGAAACTCCACGAGGTGAGATCTTGCATGGAGCACCAGACCAAGGAAGACTGACTGTTATTTTATGTTTCTTCCATTTGTGAACAATTGCACCAACTGTTGTCACCTTCTCACCAAGGTGCTTGGCGATGGTCTTGTAGCCCATTCCAGCCTTGTGTAGGTCTACAATCTTGTCCCTGAGATCCTTGGCCATGGTGGATAGTTTGGAATCTGAATAATTGATTGCTGCTGTGGACAGGTGTCTTTTATACAGGTAACAAGCTAAGATTAGGGGCACTCCCTTTAAGAGAGTGCTCGTAATCTCAGCTCGTTACCTGTATAAAAGACACATGGGAGTCAGAAATCTTGCTGATTGATAGGGGATCAAATACTTATTTCATTCATTGACATGCAAATCAATTTATAACTTTTTTCTGGATTTTTGTTGTTTTTGTTATTCTGTATTTTACTGTTAAAATATACCAAATACTTTTCCCCTCACTGTAAGTGTATACTATACATACATACCTCCTCTGAACTACTCACCCCAATAAGCTATTCAGTAGTGACTACTGGGGAGAGGGATGAGGAAGTTGTAGAGAATTGATAGCACTGCATTAAACATCTTCATTATGGGAATTCAGTGCCAACGTAACTCCAAGTCAGATGACATGCACTTTACTTCATTATCAGTCAGCCAAAGTGCAGGTTGTGATTGATGATACTTCGATAAAGAAAATAAGCCACAGTTGCTATAAAACCCTCTGCACGTCTCTGAGATAAAATATCTAATAAAGGCTTGACTTGTCTTGTCATATCATTAAATGATCGCGATTAGCTATTATTAGCTTGTTACGCACAAATATTACTTCTATGCCATTAACACCAAACCAGATATTATCAAAAACCAATACAAAAAAAGGGTTTATCTAAAACGATGCATATGCACAAAGTCTACTAAGCAAGACTTATTGTGTGTGTGCAAAATCTCATCATTATGACTGAACGCACGAACGATATTCTATTGGCTAATCTGGATAATCAATGTCACAATCAAACAATTTTACAAATATCACAATATTTCTTGCAGCTCATTTTACATTTATTTATATATGTTATCAAATTGATTTGATCCCCGTAAATGATTTTCTACATTCAATTAGATTATTACATTTATGATTTTACAATTGAACTATTTATACAATGTATTAGATTTTTTAAATGATTGATTATTTATTTTCCTACATAGAATCAATATTTGTGGAGCAATATATCTTCCTATGTATTAAATGAATCGCTATATATTGTTCCGCACGATTTTATAAGTATTTGTCTGGAATTTGTGTCCGCTGACGCATACTAACAATAAAGTTATTTGTGTTCCAGGCTAGATGCATGTGTGTGCGTGGGGGGTCAAGGGAGCATGATGGCGCTAGGTGTCTCGTTCCATGTCAGAGTCCAATAGGACGAAACCCATCAAGCCTAACGAGTACTCTGACGAAACTGCACCAGACTGTATCCAGAATCTACCATTTTCTTCATAGACTGGTCGGATCTACTGGTATCCTGAGGTACAATTGGCAGCTGTATACTTTATGGGAA